TCCTCAGTGATTTTTATTCTATTTTTTTTCTTTTGTCTTTCTTTCCTCAGTGTTTTCATTCTATTTTTTTTTTTATCTTTCTTTCGTCGGTTTTTTTATTCTGTTTTTTTCTTTTGTCTTTCTTTCCTCAGTGATTTTATTCTATTTTTTTTCTTTTGTCTTTCTTTCCTCAGTGTTTTCATTCTATTTTTTCTTTTGTCTTTCTTTCCTCAGTGTTTTTATTCTGTTTTTTTCTTTTGTCTTTCTTTCGTCAGTGTATTTATTCTATTTTTTCTTTTGTCTTTTTTCCTCAGTGTTTTTATTCTGTTTTTTTTTTTCTTTTGTCTTTCTTTTGTCGGTGTTTTTATTCTGTTTTTTCTTTTGCCTTTCTTTCCTCAGTGTTTTTATTCTGTTTGTTTCTTTTGTCTTTCTTTCCTCAGTGTTTTTATTCTGTTTGTTTCTTTTGTCTTTCTTTCTTCAGTGTTTTTATTCTGTTTTTTTCTTTTGACTTTCTTTCCTCAGTGTTTTTATTCTGTTTTTTTTTCTTTTGTCTTTCTTTCCTCAGTTTTTTTATTATGTTTTTTCTTTTGTCTTTCTTTGTTCAGTGATTTTATTCTGTTTTTTTCATTTGTCTTTCTTTCCTCAGTGTTTTTATTCTGTTTTTTTTTTTGTCTTTCTTTCCTCAGTGTTTTTATTCTGTTTTTTTTTTTGTCTTTCTTTCCTCAGTGTTTTTATTCTGTTTTTTCTTTTGTCTTTCTTTCCTCAGTGTTTTTATTCTGTTTGTTTCTTTTGTCTTTCTTTCCTCAGTGTTTTTATTCTGTTTGTTTCTTTTGTCTTTCTTTCCTCAGTGTTTTTATTCTGTTTGTTTCTTTTGTCTTTCTTTCCTCAGTGTTTTTATTCTGTTTTTTTTTCTTTTGTCTTTCTTTCCTCAGTTTTTTTATTCTGTTTTTTCTTTTGTCTTTCTTTCCTCAGTGTTTTTATTCTGTTTTTTCTTTTGTCTTTCTTTCCTCAGTGTTTTTATTCTGTTTTTTTCTTTTGTCTTTCTTTTCTCAATGTCAGTGTTTTTGTTTTATTTTTTCTTTTGTCTTTCTTTCCACACTTTTCTGTCATATTTTTCTGTTTTTTTCTTTTATATTTCTTTCCTCACATGTCAATATTTTTCTTTGGTATTCTTTTCTTTTAACTTTTCTCAAATTTAACTATTTTTCTTCCATTTCTTTCATTTGTCTTTCTTTCCTTACATATCAGTGTTTTTCTAGTGTTTTTTTTTTTTAATTTTGTTTTCCTTTTCTAACATTTAACTGTTTTTCTTCTGCTTTTTTGTGTTTTTCTTTCTTTCCTCACATGTCAGTGTTTTTCTTCAGCTTTTCAATTTTCTTTCCTGAATATCATGTTGTACTTTTTTGTTTCTTTCATTTTATTTCCTCACATGTCTTTGTTTTTCATTTGTTTTTTATTCTTTTGTCTTTCTTTCTTTCTTTCTTCATATGTCAGTGTTATTTGTTTGTTTTTTCTTTTTTTTTTCTTTTCTCACATTTCAATGATTTTTTTTCTGTTTTTCTGTTTTGTCTTTCTTTCTTCACATGTCAGTTGTTTCTTTTGTTTTTTTCTCTTGTCTTTTTTCCTCGTGTGTTTGTTTTTCTTTTGTTTTTTCTTTTGTCTTTCTTTCCTCACATTTCAGTATTTTTCTTTTGCTTTTGTGCTTTTATCTTTCTTTCCTTACATGTTTTCATCTGTTTTTTTGTCTTTCTTTCCTCACCTACCATGTTTTTTGTTTTTGTTTGTTTTGTCTTTCTTTCCTCATATGTAGGCATTTTTCTTCTGTTTTTTCTTCATTGTTTCTTTCCTCACATGTCTGTGTTTTTCTTTTGTTTTTTTTCTTTTGTAACTTTTTTTTTCTCATTTGTCAACTTTTCTTTTATGTATTTACTTCTGCCTTTCTTTCTTTCCTTGGGGATTAATTTTCTTCTTTGTGCTTTCTTTTCTCACCCTGAACATCTTTGCCAAAGTTTTTCACATATATTTTCTTTTCTCCTCTCTGTCTCTTTTCATATCTGTTCTATTTTCATTTCTTCTTTGTCTTTATTACTTTTTCCTTTCATTTCCAAATTCTCAATGTTTTTTCTTTGTTTCTCTCTTTTTGTCAGTTTATTGTTTTCAATTCTTTTTTTTATCTTTCTTTCTTATGTTTAATTTTCCCTTCTTTTTTTTTATCTAATTTGCATTTTATTTTTGATTCCATTCTTTCTTACATGCTTACTTTTTCTTTCTTTCTTTTTTGTTCTTTTCCTATCTTTCTTTCTTTTTATATTTCATTTTTTCTTTCTTCTTTCTTTCGTTTTTCTTTCTTTCTCTCACTGTTTTCTCACTTTATATCTTTCTTGCATGATTATTTTATTTTTATTTTCCTTCCTTTCTTTCTTTATTTCTTTTTCCTCCCTTCCTTCCTTCCTTCCTTCCTTCCTTTCTTTCTTTCTTTCTTTCTTTCTTTCTTTCTTGTCTTTTCCTATCCTACTTTCTTTATTGCTATATTTCATTCATTCTTTTTCTGTCTTTCTCTCTCACTTTCTTTCTTTCTTGTATGCTTACTTTCTGTTTGAATTTCTTTCTTCAATGCTTCTTTCATTTTCTTTTCCTTTCTTTCTTTCTTTCTTTTTCTTTCTTTCATCCTTGTCTTTTTCATAACCTCCTTTGTTTATTTCTATATTTAGTTTTCTTTCTTCTCTTCTTTCTTTTTTGTTTGTTTCTCTTTCACTATTTCCCACTTTCTTTCCCACTTTCTTTCCCACTTTCTTTCTCACTTTCTTTCTTTCTGGCATACTTACTTTATTTTCTTTCTTTAATTCTTTCATGCTCACTTCCTTTTTCTTTTTCTTTTTCTTTTTTTTTTTCTTTTCTTTTTTCTTTAAATTTCTTTCTTTCTTTCTTTCTTTCTTTCTTTCTTTCTTTCTTTCTTTTCCCCTTCACATTTCCAGTAACATTTCACCAGTCTGTATTTACCTCTTCCCCAACGCCAACAAATGAAAGCTAGATTAATCTATTATCTATTTGTGACAGCTCTTTTGGCTTTGAGGGGGAAATCCATCCAGAATACAGATGAATTACCCAAAACTTCATAACATGATAAATAGACCTCGGCTTTTGTTTACCATTAATTTCATTCTTATCACAGACCAACACCATCATTCATCGCATCTTGATGTATATGGGCCAAAAATCTGGTAATTCTTCCAACAAGCATAATTGTCGAACAATCTGATTTCTCACCCATTGAGATTACAGAGCTTTTTGTTATCTCATCTGTCGTAAGTGAGAAACTCATGCCTCACAGGTGAGCTTATCACACAGCAATTCATTCTGCACTTTACAATCTTTTCTCAAAAGAACATTTTTCTGTTCGCTGATCTTTGCTTAAACCAACTGAAGTTTGCCTTTCCTTGAACCAACTTCACTCTGTTTGATTTTATTAGTCAAGTCAAAGCTATCACATTAAAATTGATATTAACCAATTGATACTGGTAAAATTTTTCATGGTATATTTAAATTAAATATTAATAAAATTTCACTATTTACTTTATTCAGACAGTTATCTCCTGTTAATTACCCTCTCCAAGTTCTCCACCACCTTAACCAGGTATTGAACTCACGCTCTTTGGGTTCTGTCATTGGATCTAACTAACGCCTTTATCCACTGTGCCATGTGTCCTTGATATCTGACATCCATTAGACATGGCATGTGGAACTACCCCAGTGAGCGAAATAAAGGGTTCAGTTTGATATTCCAAACACCTGAAGAAGGCCGGAGCGTACAACGACTGAAATGTTGTAAGAAATATGGCAACAATAGTCTGAATAATGTAAATAGTATACATAATACCTCATCTCAGAAATATAGAAAGGTACTGAAAGGCTGAAACATTGTATTAAATATGGCAACAAAATGAGGACAATAGTCCGAATAAATTAAATAGTGTACATAATACCTCATCTCATCTCAGAAATATAGACAGATAATGAAAGGCCAAAACGTTGTAAGAAAGATGGCAACAAAGATGAGTACAATAGTCCAAATAATGTAAATAGTGTACATAATACCTCATCTCAGAAATATAGACAGATAATAAAATTTCCTACTGGAAAGAAAGTTTTTTATTGTTATTAATTAATAAATTAAACCAGACTAGAATTACTATATTGTGTCAGTTTTTATTCTGTAAGTCAATGTTTTAACAATAAAATTAGTATTAACCAAGAAATGCTGGTAAAACTTTTCGAGATATCTATATACATTTTCTCTCTATACTTAATTCAATCAGCTATCTCTTCTTTCTCTACCATTCCCCTTCCTTTCAAGACTGTTATGTGCTAGACAGTATTTCTGATAACATAGACAAGGTCATCTTCCTACACCTGTATTCATGTCCCGGCGACTTTAACGCCCACCATACCAGGTGCCTTGAATACTATGTCACCGACTTCACTGGCATTCAAACCCTGAACTTTTCAATCACTCAATCCCTCACACAAGTGGTTGACTTTCCCCCAGTAACCCTGACAGAAATTCTTCTCTTCTCGATCTCTTTTTCCTCTATACCTCACTTTTGTCGCATGACATAGCTCTGCCCGCTTAGCAAATCTGATCATGCAGTAGTGTCTGTAAATGTTTCCTTCTGCTCCCCCCCACCAGACATGAATCTCCTACCAACAGAATATCTTTCTGTTATGAACAAGCAGTCTGGTACTCATTCCATGATTTCCTTTGTGACATCCCTTGGAATGAAGTTTTCAAATATTTTCAATAATGCTGAACAAGTTACTGTTTTGCTCCCCATTACCTTACTTACAATGTCCCTGCTTTCTGCATTTATAATATTTGTGGAGCATAATGACCTTACATGTCTGCTATGGCCTTGAAATAAAGACACGAAGAGAGGAATTCAGTTAAACAAATATATTAACAGAAACAGTAATACAGACATATACAAACAAGAGTGTTACAGCAAGGATGTTTGCTATGATTGTCAGAGCTGACAGATAGATAGATAGATAGATAGATATGAACATAATGAGATAGATATAATGATAGATATAATGAGATAGATATAATAGATAGATAGATATGAATAATGATATGTATGAATATAATGACAGATAGATAGATAGATAGATAGATAGATAGATATGAACATAATGAGATATGTATGAATATAATGCGACAGATAGATAGATAGATAGATAGATAGATAGATAGATAGATAGATATTCTGTCATAGCTGACTGCTGGAAACTTCCCTCTCCAAAAGGCAGTACCTGCTCCTATTCATAGCTGAGAGAATCCATGAATGTTTCTTCCCCTCTGCAGAAAAAAAATGTGCATTTAGTTATATGATTAATGTAGATCTAGCAGCAACCTTAAATTAATTTAATTAAATTAATTAAATTAAATTAATTAAATTAGTCATTTTCAAAATGGTTACCAACAAGAGTATATTAAATTTTAGTAGAATTGTTCTAGACAATTAGTATTGCTAATCAGTAAACTTTAATATACCTGGTATATACATGAGCTCCCCACAAAGTAGGATGTGACACAAGGCCTGTTTAATGTGAGTCTTTCCAAGACTGTATGCTCGGGCAAAAAATCCTCATACATCCCGCATACATGGGGTATGGTGGCTGCCTACCTCCTCAGATGAGACTCTGCCCTTTGGCACAGCCTTATTTGAGTTCCTCTCTGCTCAGAGACAGAGAAGTTGATAAGCAGTGTCCACAAAGCCAAAGATTTGAGAAACTCAGTATTTAAACGAGCTCCCCACAAAGCTTGATGTGGCACAATGTCAGCTTTATGTGTGTCTTTTTGAGCACATAGGATCAGGCAAAAATTCTGTGTAGACCCTGTAATAATGGGGTCAGGTTTGTCTACTTCTCCAGATGAGACTCTGTCCTTCAGCATACCCTCATCTGGTTTTCTCTCTGCCTCCAGGTAGAGAAGTCGGTAAGTAATGTTTGCATAACCAAAGGTTTGGTAAACTTTGCATATCAGTAGAGTTCTCCTGAACATGTGATCAGGACAGATCTATTTATGGTGGAAATGGATCATATCAAAATTTCAATGTTTAGCTGCTTTGACTTTGCTATATTATGTCTAGAAATCTTCAACTTCTTGGCAATTTGTCTTTAAGAAGTCTACTCTCAAAGACAAATTGAATTTGAATAAAATTTCAATTTGTGCCTACACCTCAATTGGGAAAGGTGTAATTCCATCTCTTCTTCCCTTTCTAGTGGTTAAAGAGTAGGACAGATTGAATCCTATAGCTTTGGGAGGCAACCAGTCTATTGCAGAAAGAAATGGCAACTTAGTCAGTCATGAATCGAAAGAGACATGATCGTCCAAGCCTGTATCACATATGGTGCTTAACTTACACTACAGCAAAAGTTTTGGGGCACCCTGCATTTCTTTAAAAACACCATAAAATGAGATATTTTTCTTAAAGTAGAAGACAAAACCTCATTAAATGCAGTGTATTTGCTTTTATTTTGACAAAAAATAATCACAACTATAAAAAATTATCATACAGCAGCATAAGAAAAACACCAATTGCCTAAATTATTACTTTACAAATTCTTTCAACTAGATTCTGAAAAAAAGGATATGGCATACCTTCTCAAGCATCCTTCAAGCACTGAGAAATCTCACTCTCACTCTTTAGGTATTCTCTTCAAACTCTCTTATCCAATTCACCCCATTCAGTGGGAGTGAGGTCAGGAGATTGAGGCAACCAAGTCATAATTTCTAAAAGTTTGTTCCTTTTTTTTAATATAATTTAGGACAGTTTATGGATTGCTGGCTTGCTGAAAGGGGAATTCTTTTACAATTATGCATAAACCAGATGGTATAGCATGTCCTTACAAAATCAAATGATATTATACAAGATTACCTTGACCTAAATCAAATTTACAGCCATCTCTCTTCCAAAACACCGCCACACCATAATGTTTATTTTCATCAGCAGTTGTCACTTTTGATGCGCCAGCTTTTTTTTTAATATAAATTTGCACTAGTTTCTAATGAATATTGCAGTCATGTCTAGAAATCTTCAACTTCTTGGCAATTTGTCTTTGGGAATCCTACTCTCAAAGACAAATTGAATTTGAATAAAATTTCAGTTTGTTCCCTCACCTCAATGCTTAGCTGCTTTAATTTTGACATTTTCTGCAAATTACTTCAAAATTAAAAATAAATAAAAACCTATGAAAATAGTATCATGATAGCACAATCTTTTTTTATTCAAATAGAGACAGCTGCATATGTTTTGTTTACAACATTAGTCAGTGTTGAGTTAATATTTAAAACGTATTAACATTTAACTTAGTTGAAAAGTCTAATGAGGGGTTAATGGTTATGTGTATATATGTCTCTCTCTCTCTCTCTCTCTCTTTCTCTACATACATACATGCATATATATATATATATATATATATATATATATATATATATATATATTTTATACAACAGGAATTATGATTACATTAGGTTAATGATCATTTTTACCTTGTAAATTGAAATAAAATTTACAGGGATTTTTCAAACCAGTCAATGGATGATAATTTATTTTTTTAAAATTTATTTTTTTCAAAAATTTATCATCCATTGACTCATATGAAAAAATACCCTTGTAAATTTTATTTCAATTACAAATGAAATGATCATTAACCTATATATATATATATATATATATATATATATATATATATATATATATATATATACAGGTATGATGAGATCAGATAGAATACAATTCCAATGTTTATAGTATTTAATTTAAGAGAGGCTCAATGCAGAGTAGAGCAATATTATTTATTTTAGGATATTGCATCAAATATATGTAAATAACACTACACAATTTCAGTTGTGTATCTATACATCTCATCAGGCAGTTGTAAATCACTGGCAAGTGAAAGATCCACTCAAATTTAAAAGAACAATGAAACCTCTTTTTACAAAAAAAGTGAGATTGTACTATTTGTGGGCTCTACTCCAATCAAACATGACCTACATTAAATTTAAACCAAGCAAAAAAGCAAAAGTCAAAAATTATATTTCATAAATGGGTCATGATCCACAGGTTGGCAGCTAACGGCAGCCAGACATAAACTATAAAAAACCAGACAATGCAGCCCCCACCCCAAGAAATACCAATGGGGTGTAGAGGTAATTTAACAAAATGCTAAACAAGTTATATGATTTGTGAATTTCCTACAAAAATCTTTTACATATTTTTGGTTTAATATTGTAATATATATATATATATATAATATTCAGAAAACAAAAAAGGAAATCAGTAAAATTGTAAATTTTTTTCCTTTTCTCCTTTTTTTTTCATTTTTTCCTCTTTCCCCATATCATTTCCATTGAGTTGACCGATTAAATAGGTCAATGTCTGAACCTTACCCCTTCCTCCTCAGTATTAAGTATTGTAACAAAATAAAAATAAAAATAAATTTTAAAACTCTCCCTTTTCTCTCTAATTTCGACCATGACTCTCACCCTATTCCTCACCACCCTCTATGTCACCTTATATAAGCTTAATACTGCCCGTCAAAAGTGTAAATTTTAAATTCATTTTTCATTTCACCTTTGAAAGTGAAGTCTGAAGATCCAGAGAAAAATAAAATTTTCTAGTGAAATAAATTATAACTAGTGGTCTGTTTTCCTTTAAATTAAATTATTCACTCAGACTTAAAATTGAGCTCTCAGGATTTCATCATCCTATATATATATACAGATAGATAGATAGATAGACAGGCAGATATATAAATATATAGATAGATATGAATAGACAGATAGATATGTACAGAGATAGACAGATACATAGATATATACATACATACATACAATTTTACTGCCTCCATTTTTGTTTTCTGAAAGTTTGATTATTTTTAATTTTTATTAAGCTGTTCTTTGGCAAATATTACTTTTTGTCAGAAACTGGATTTTGTAAAGTGCATATATATATATATATATATATATATATATATATATATATATATAAAGAGAGAGAGAGAGAGAGAGAGATAGAAAATGTATGATTATACCTTTTCCTTGTACCTTCCAATGTTCTTGTGGCTTTTAAATCTTCTGAAAATGTAACTGATGTAATATGTAAATATGTATTGATGTATTTTTATGTATGCATTTTATCTATATACGTATGCATGTATGTATATGTGTATGTGTGTATCTGTCATTGTACTTGTGTGTGTGAATATCTGAGTGTTTGTATGTGTGTTTATGCATTAGATAAAAAGAGAAAATTTACATGTTAGCAGGTATATTACAGAATCATGTATAAAAAACATAAATAAAACCTTTCAAGTTTTTATTCCTGGAGAGCAATTTAAGAGTGAAATAAATACATTAAGATCGCATCTTAAAACAATAAAAATGCTTTAATATTAAAGACTTATTTTCTTT